TGTCCTCAGACAGGGCTCCAAAAGTATAAAAGTTATATGAAAATTCTGGTATTGTAAACAGTGTTACTAAAATATTTATACAAATAAGGAGTTAGTTAGGAGGCTGGTTCTAGACAAATTTACCACGGGGGCCAGGATAGTCGGTGCTTTTCCATGGTGACACTTAAAAAAGAATGAAACATAAAAACAGAGTAATATTTCATTATTTGATATAAAAAGTGAGCCAAAGAGCCACTTGTGTCTACAGAGATCCAGGTTACAGATCCTGATCTATCAGATGGAAAGTGTGATCATATCTCAATACAGTAGCTAAAAGTGCAGCACAATAATTTTTAATTTATTGTTGAAGTCAAATTGTGAAGGTAAAAAAAAGCAAACCTGAATATTAACAAAAGACATTTATTTAGCATAATTTCTTCTGTACCCTTGTTGGCCCCCATCTAGAACCGCCCCTGGGCAGCAGGTCTGTGTCTGACATTAATAATACAACACTGAATTAATATGTCAACATTTCTTAATAAAACAAACAGAAAGCCCTATCAAACCTTTTTAAAAGTAGGAAATATTTATGTATTTACTGTTAATCTCTTGGTATGATTTGTTCTTTAAATGGCCATTTGTATTATTTTGGCTGATACTGTCATGATCCGTGTTTCTGTATGTTTATTTTTGAGTTTTTCTGTGTGGTTCTGTTTCCTGTGTCTCTGTCTCTGCGTCTTCCCCGTTGATTGTTTCCCAGGTGTGTCTCATTCCTTTGATTACCCCTGTGTGTATTTAAACCCACCTGTTGTCTGTGTTCTTCATCGGGTCCTTGTCTAACGTATGTTGCACACTACCGATGCTCTCCAGTAGAACTGCCAAGTCCTGGTTTGTGCTTGCTCTCATTTTGTCCTGTTGGTCAGTTGCTACCGGCAATTAGCTGTGCGCTTGTCTCCCTGCCGTGTTGCCTGTCTTGGACTGTTTCTGAGCAATATTATCATTAAATTCATCATCTTCATCATATCCTGGGTCTACCTGCGTCCTCTCCTCACCACCACCAACCACCACTTATGACAGATACGACTATACATTAAATAAGCAAATAATTGATTATCTAACATAACAGTCTACTAAAACCACAATACGAAACTTAATCAATCATAGCAAAATGTTCTGTACCATATC